TTTCATTAAATTAGAGGTTCTCTACCAATTAGCTTGAAGAAAAAAGTAAAATGTGCTTATGTTATCACTATATGTAGAACAAAACAACTAGAAAATGCCACCTGTAATTTACATATAACTTTTGCAAAATGTATATATTTTATCTGTTTAAGAAATGTTGTTTAGTATTGTTAGAATACTAATACCACTCACTGGCTCTTATTAGAATTTCAGGTGACTTTTATATTAATATATAACTATTTTCAGGACCTTTAAATGTGTTTTAGAACATTGTATGTTTTAATGTCTTCCATGCATACAAAAATAAGCAAATAAATTATGAAGCAAAGTAATCCTTTCTAGTAGAAGAGAGTTTTTTTCCATAAGAAAATGTTAAGCTGTTCCTATAAAAGCAAGTATTAGGCCACTGCAAGCCAAGTATTAAAAAAAAAAAAAAAAACCAAAGATTTTTATTATGTAAAATAGTTTTTGAGTGGCATGAGGTTTTACCATATGTTCAGTTTTATGATTTTAATTTATAAGTAGAAGCTTCTAGAAAAAAAATGCTGTTTACTTCTACGCATCTTTACACATTTTCTAGGATAGAGTTCTGAATTAAAGTAAGACATTTAAAAAAAAATCAATGGTTTTTGGTGAAAAACAGACTGAATAAAACCATCTTTTCAGAATGTGACTACCAAAGAACCGATTGCCTCCTCTAAGAGTCCTACATGAAAGGTGCAGTTTGCTTGATTAATAGCCCATGAATGCAAATGAAATGGCAAAAACAAAACAATAAAACATCTTCAATACTAATTTTTTTCTTTTGAGAAACAGATGTTTTAAAGGAAAAATTTCCTTTTTCTGTCACTATAAGACTGCCTACTGAATAACAGAGGCTGTGAATCAAAGTTTGGTTCAAACATAATGTAAACTACATCTATCTCATTTTAATGCTTATAAGTTCCAATACCTACAATATTGTAGAGAAATATCTTGAAGTTACCTCAACCCTGACAGCAAAACAGGTATGTCTGTTTCATTGTATCTGCACTGTGAGGTCTCTGAATTCATTTGGGGAGAATACTGAAATCAGTCCCCAGAGGCCTCTTCACCATGCATTAAAACAGAAAATCCTATGGGATTACATAATGTTTGCTCTCTAAATTATACCAAAAGCTCAGTTTTATTAAGTATAATCTGCTTAGCCATGCATAAAAAAAAATACTTAGGTTTAGATGCGAGTTTATGTGCATTTATACTGACTTTCAATGAAAATATTTTTCCACACACAGGCAAATATATTCTGCTTAGTATGTGTTAGTACCATAAAAGGTAATATAGCAACACTTTCATCAATGCTTTTTAAGGTCACATCATTATGTTTATTAATAACAATAACAATTTATATAAACAGGAGTTACTATGGACAGCACCAATTTTTTTTTGCTTCCATTATTTTAATTTATTAAGAAAATATATCTTTATTGTAGGAAAACTTTGCACATTTAAACATGGCAATAATTTTAAGTTTCATGACTCTGGATCCAGAAAAAAACATTATTGTCATTTTAATTGAGTTATAAAATACTTTACTTGAAATATTTATGTGTAAGAATGCAGAAGAGTTGCAGCCATATAAATGCAGAATTTCAGTTCCTTTTAGCCTAAAGCATCGTTTTAACATTTTCTGAAAGGTTGTTCAATTCTACATTTTGATTCCATTATATGTGTAATTAAACCTCTATGCACAAAAGCATTCCCTTATGTACTAGCAAATATACCCACAGGAATTCTCTTCTAAACTATAATTTATTTAAACATGTAATCATAGGATTTTAAAACATGCTTTCATTTTTCCAAACTATATGCCAATTTGAACTGCTTTGAGATAAAATGAGAGATTTTATTGCCATTTTGGTTTCTTTCCTTTGTGACCTAACAGTGAGTTAAATGTGGGCAGGAGGAAATAAAGAAAATCCATTGGGAACCCAATTCCATGTGTTGAACTATTTCCCTTTTGGACAAAATAGAAAAAAAATAAAAGAATTGTCATTGTTTATGAATTCCAAACACTATGAACATTTGGGACTGCACAGTTTTCTCCTGGGACTTAGTTGGCCTAAGTAGTAAATAGCTAATTAGCTAATTTTGGGGTGTGGTGTGTGTGCTTATATATGTGTATGTGTGTGTTTAGTTTATGTATGTGTGTGAACGCGCGCGTGCATGTGCTTGTATGAGAGTGTCTCTTGAACATTGTGGAGCCAGGCCCCCTACTGACAAGATCTGCCAATTACAGACCTTGCCTTTGCTCCTGCAGTTTCGCCTCCTCAGAATCAAGTGGAAAACACAGTGGTCTGAGATTTTGAGTGTGGCCCTTTTATACTCTCTGTGCACTGGATCCTTCCCACCTGGGAGCATGTGCGAGCTCTACCCTAAACTTCAACCTTAGAATAGTCTCAGCCAAGAATTAATATAAGCGAGTTTATGAGTCTTCCTAAGAAGTAGTAACATCCCAGGAAGCTGAACATTAATTTGAAGGGAGGGAAAACTCACACACAGGTGGAAAATAAGTCTTCACTTTCTCACATTTACATGTTATGATTACTTTATTTTCACTTATTTATTAAATAGCTATGACCTTTGCCTTTTGATCTTGGGTATATCAAGACGTGAGCAAAGCTCTTATCAGAGAACCATGAACTGCAAGTTGCTAAAGAATTATAACCCACATTACTATGCTTGTTGCGTGGTGCTCAACATAAAGACTCCAAGCCTCCTTTCCTCGCTCTGGAAGGAAATGTCCCCAACTCAACCCAAACTGAGGGAAAGTAGTGTGCATAGGGCAACATATCTACTTAGCCGCATTTGTGTAGGGAGGGCTGTGGTTATGATCTTAAACCTTTTGGTAGTCACTCTCCTGTATTAAAAAATAATAACTTCCACCCCAGTGTAACGAAACTTGGGTTTCCGACTTCTGAAAATAGCTGCCGGGAACCAGGCCCACCGCGTGGATCAAGGAAGGCTCCCCCTGACCGCACCCTGCTCCCTCGCGGAAGGGGAAGGAAACCCGGGAGGGCGCCTGTGAGCTGGAGTTTCTGCTATTTTGGGCCCAGCCTGGCCGGTGCGTCAATGCCTGCGCCCCTGCGTCACCGCCACCCCACCCCCTTCCTTCTCCATTGCTCTCCAAACTCTCACTTTTTCCCTTTCGTTCGCGTGGAATCGCTTCTGCCCACGGGGCGCTGACGCTGCCGAGCGCACACTAATAAGCTGTTCTTCACCCTGCCCCCTTTTGCACCCTTCCCCCACTTCCTGGTTTTATTTTATTTTTCTCGCGCCCACTAGGGCACCGCGAGCCATAGCGGCAGCAGCTGGAGAGGCAGTCGCAACATCTGGGGGAAACTTTAAGGTGGTCACGTAGGTTTCCCCGAGGCTGATGAACAGTGGAGCCCGCGGCTCGTCTGGGCAGCCGCAGGGCACCCGATGGCAACGCCTCTGCAGCCTCAGGCTTACTCTGCTCGGAGCCGGCAAAGGCGGAGGTGCAGGCTAGGAATGAGCAACCCCACAACCCTGAGAGTTCCGCGGTGTTCTTCGCCGGTGCTAGGATCACCAAAAGGGGGCCGAGTTGCACAACGCACAACCCCCCCCCCTCCCCCGGCAGTTTGGGAGTGAGCCAACGCGCGGGAGGAGGGGAGGAGCGCTGTCCTGGGCGGAGAAGGGGACCCTCCAAAGTCGCCCTCCCTCGGCCCCATCCCCTTCCTGGTCTCCGGAGAAACCTTAGGAAGTCTGCCGCCCTGGGCTACTGGGAGTAAGGCTTGCCCTCCGGAGGAGCGGCGATTCCTTTGCTAGCAAGATCCACGCGCTTGGCGGGCGAATTGTCTTGCAGAGCCGAGCGGGAGGCTACTCTGACGCCCGTGGTGGTAGGACACGCTCCCACAGCCCATGGGGACCCTGAGCTGAGGCACTGGGCACACACCCTCTGTTTTTCCGAGACAGCGAACGGCCCACTACCGCCTCCGGCTCCCCTCCCTTTGCCGCTTCTCCCACCATTCTTTCTTCTTGGTTATGGGGACGACAGCCCTTGCGTTTCAGAAACTCGTGAGAGGGACAAGAAGGGCTTGGCGGGCACAGTGAAATATCAATGCTGTTGAGAGTTGACTGAAGGGAAGGATCAGACCACCTTTCTGCACAGGCGCACCTGTTGCCCGACTCTTTGATGTTTTATCTGTAAAAGAAAAGCAAGCAACAATTCACTCCTACTTGTGAGGTCCTCAATGTCTGCCCTCTCTCCCTCCACACTCCTTTAACTATAGCTTTTTAGTTTCAGGAAAGAGGAGGAAAGAAAAATGGACCCTATTCCCTTATCTCTAGAAGGAACGTGGAAGACTGATATAGAAATAAGGGGAGAAGGGGATGCGCGGGCTAGGGAAATCCCATCTAAGCCCAAGGAGAGCCGCGAGTCACGGAATATTTGCACTTCCGCTAAGGATTGTGTGGAGGGTGATGTTGGGAAGCAGCAAGGCACACCTCTGTCCGTGTGGTCCAGGTGCCAGCCACTTGGCCCACGCCAGCGTTCTTTTCCGTTCAAGCTTTTGTTGCACCCTCCCCACGTGTGAGGACTCAGGGCCTGGGGGCAGGTGAAATGTAGCATCACCGCAGGTTTCACGGACCTGGACCTGGGTTGCCTAAGTCACACTTCTTTCGGAAAAAAAAAAAAAAAAAAAAAAAAAAAACACCCAAGTGGGCTACCAAGGTGAAGGCAGAAGCGTTCCCACCTTAAAATCAGCCCCAGCCGTGACGTCAGGTCGGAAATATACCAAAGCGAGCGCGGGCCAGGAGTCCGGGGAGCGCGGCGACGCGGCGATTGGACCGCGGGCCGCTGACGCGCGCTGACGCGCGCAGACTTTAGGTGCTTGTTGGCAGCCGCAGCCCGAGCCACATAAACAAAGGCACATTGGCGGCCAGGGCCAGTCCGCCCCGCGGCTCTGCACAGTTCCGCGTCCCTGTCGCCTGCCCCACCGGCTGTCTTGTCTCTTCTTCCGCCGGGCTGGTGGCGTGTGGCTCCCCACACCCGGCTCCCTCAAGGCTCCCGCGGACCCCGGAGCCCCGGCTCCCGGAGGGAACTGCACTTCGGCGGAGTTGAATGAATGAAGAGAGCGGAGAAGTGAGTAGAAGCGGCGGTGCCGTCTGTGCTCTCGGGTTCACCCGGGCTCCGCGGACTGGAGACCAGGTTCTCTGCAAGTGGGCGCCAGAGACGCGGATCGCCAAGGGGCTGGAGGGGGGGCGGGTGGATGGCGAGTGGGCGCGCGTCGCTCCGCCGAGCCTTTGCTGGAACTTGGGCTGTAGCGTTGGGGGGGAGTTGGCTGCCGGCAGAGTCTTCCAGGCTTCTCATTGGTGGATGTGCAAGGGGGACTCCCACAGTTTTAGGAGATGCGGGCTTGCCTGCAGAGAGGTGCGCAAAGTTTGCTCCTGGTGTGAAATTGATTGTGGCTTGTTGGAGACTCTAGAGCTCGTGAACAAGTGGCTAACAGTCCGGGAGAGAAAGTTTATGAGTTGCTTGGGAATAGTGTCTCTCAGATCGCCCGCGAGCAGATGTTTCCCGGGTATCGCCGTGTAAGGATGGTGTCGGTAGAGTGTCCTGTTGCTAAGTTGCCTGAAATTTCTGGTTTTGATAAATGCTGTCCTTGGGTAGTGTGCCAGAGTGTGTGCGTGCGGTAAAGAGTGCAGTTATGAAATTGTGACACTGCTAGGGGTTCACATCCAGCACAGAGTTATTTCCAAGGGCGGCGGCGGATGGTTAACCTTGTCCACTCCTTGAAGCAAGATTATGAAAGAAAGGAGAGGGGGAGCAGAAGGAGCATGTCTTGGGTTTCTCTATCTTTATTAACAAGTCTGTCTGTGCTCTAGAATGCCTTGCAAGTGGGAACATCTGACAATTGCTGGGACACAAGAATGCCATGTCCCAGCAAGTAGGCAGCCCATGGAAAACATTGTGGAGAAGATGTTTAGCTTATTGTGCTTTTAACTTTGGTGCCAATATTATATATGTAATATGTCCTTCCCTCTGCAGTTAACCCGATACTTCTGGTAAGGAAGAGGTCTCTCTCATCACCTCTGGGCCATTAAAGGTGTTGAAAATCCAGCTCTCTGGAGTAACACCAATTCATTTGTACCCCAAACCCCAGTGCTGGGTCAAAAACAAATAGAAAAGCTATATACTTGCTCCCAAATTGGCTTCTTGGTTGTCCAGGTCTTGCTAACATTTTCTTAGGGTGGGATCTCTATTGTTTTTCCCCCAGTGTGCATTTTTGAATTCTACTAACTTTTTTCCTTCCTAAGAGAAAAGTCCATTTGACTACAAGAAAAATATTTAAGAGAAGGCTTCGACGCCATAGTTTCTCTTTAGCTTAGTCTTCTTAGCCAGGTTTGAAATAAAGTAGAAGGAAAATGACCCATCTAGAGCAAAGGGACCAATTCATTATATTGTTAAGTATCAAGTAGGCTCATGGGATAACTTCCTTCCAGAATGCTTTCTCTGCAGGGATTTACACTGGGAGATGAGTGGCATTATCTGTTGTTTAGCCATGTCTTTGCACGTTCATTTAAGCCACTGTTTGGTAAAGTCTTCGCATTCATTCCCAAGGAGGCACTGAAGGGCCTGTGAGTCTGCCTCTACCCAGCCAAATCTCGATGGGAAGACATCCTCAAACTTCCTATGTCTGTATTTCAGGGAGTTCTGACGGGCTGGATTCCAAATTGCTTTTTTAAAAATCTTGGAAACTCTGTCCTTCGTTGAATTACGACACTGTCCACCTTTAATTTCCTCGAAAACTCCAATAACTCGACAGAAGGTTAGTGAGCTCTTTCTTTCGTTACCTTTCCCGAGTTCCCCCATCTCCAGAAACACAGGCCAACAGGATCGTCTCAGGCCGGCCCTGTGCCTTATGGCCACAGAGAACAACTTTATATTGTGCGATTCAACGTCATTTCTAGACCATGGGTTCTAGAAACCCTGTCGTCGACCCTGAGCTTCAGTGTAGAGGCTCATCAAAGTGGGGAGCGGGGCGGAGTGGGGGGAGCATTTGGAAATATCCGGGATTGTAGTTTCTCAACAGTTTTCCAGCTCTGGGTGGTTCGGGATCAGTCCTTTCCTCTCTTCATTGCTGCTCCGACCCACTTTGTCCTTCCCCTCGTACCCCTACCCTCTCTCTGACGCCGCGGGCTGCCGGTGTAGCTCCAGGTGTACCCGAGCCCGGAAGAAAGTGTTCAGTTGACCAGGCTGAGTGTATGTCACCCTGTTTCATTTCCAGCCATGCCTTGTGTTCAGGCGCAGTATGGGTCCTCGCCTCAAGGAGCCAGCCCCGCTTCCCAGAGCTACAGTTACCACTCTTCGGGAGAATACAGCTCCGATTTCTTAACTCCAGAGTTTGTCAAGTTTAGCATGGACCTCACCAACACTGAAATCACTGCCACCACTTCTCTCCCCAGCTTCAGTACCTTTATGGACAACTACAGCACAGGCTACGACGTCAAGCCACCTTGCTTGTACCAAATGCCCCTGTCCGGACAGCAGTCCTCCATTAAGGTAGAAGACATTCAGATGCACAACTACCAGCAGCACAGCCACCTGCCCCCTCAGTCCGAGGAGATGATGCCACACTCCGGGTCGGTTTACTACAAGCCCTCCTCGCCCCCAACACCCAGCACCCCGGGCTTCCAGGTGCAGCATAGCCCGATGTGGGACGACCCGGGGTCTCTTCACAACTTCCATCAGAACTACGTGGCCACTACACACATGATCGAGCAGAGGAAGACACCTGTCTCCCGCCTTTCACTCTTCTCCTTTAAGCAGTCGCCCCCGGGCACTCCTGTTTCCAGCTGCCAGATGCGCTTCGACGGGCCTCTGCACGTCCCTATGAACCCGGAACCCGCGGGCAGCCACCACGTAGTGGATGGGCAGACCTTCGCCGTGCCCAACCCCATTCGCAAGCCGGCATCCATGGGCTTCCCGGGCCTGCAGATCGGCCATGCATCTCAGTTGCTTGACTCGCAGGTGCCCTCGCCACCGTCCCGGGGCTCTCCCTCCAACGAGGGTCTGTGCGCCGTGTGCGGAGACAACGCGGCCTGTCAGCACTACGGCGTTCGCACTTGTGAGGGCTGCAAAGGTTTCTTTAAGGTGAGCAAGACTAAACTGAGGTGGCAGGTAGAGATGACCTTGTTGTACCTGAGACCCAGGAAAGTGCCCTCGCCTTCCGGTAGGCAGCCCAGCCCTAGTATCCCTGAAGTGGAAGGGCCTTTGGGGGTGTCTAAGGAAAGAAATAAGCAAGACTGGGAAAGTCAGGGTTTCACCTCCCCCCTCTCCCCACAGCAACCTGCCGCCCGGCGGGCTCCTGCCCGAAATTGCTGGAGCCAGAGTTGGAAGAGGGCTATTTGCATGTGTTAGGCTCTGTCTTCCTTGTTCAGATTGAAATTGGTTAGGACAGAGAACCGTGTCTGAGCTAACCAAGTGGAACAGAATTCCCTATGGTCAAATTAAGTGATCTCTTTATTTCGCCATCCTGATTGAATAATCTTATCATTTTAAATAGAGAAGGTCTCCAAGGAATGTAAATAATATGAATGCCCACGGATTTGTATTTACTGAGCGTCTCCTGCTCCTTCTCCTGGCATATAAAACACAGCAAGGAGCGGCAAGGTTAGCTCAAATGTTAACGCTATCAATTTTCTTCTGGTAAATGCCCTGGGGGAGGAAAAGGGAAGGAAATAGGAAGAAAAGAACAAGAAAAAAAAATTTTTTAAAGGAGTAGTGTTTATGTTTGTAGGGAAGGAATGCCTACCCAAGCCATTAAAAAAGTCTCCAGTTTACTAGGCTTTGAATTAAAAGATAATAATTTTTGGCCTACATTCTCTCCCTCTGCAGCGCACGGTGCAAAAAAACGCAAAATACGTGTGTTTAGCAAATAAAAACTGCCCAGTGGACAAGCGCCGCCGAAATCGTTGTCAATACTGTCGATTTCAGAAGTGCCTGGCTGTTGGGATGGTTAAAGAAGGTAGGTCGGGACAAGCTGCTGACCTCTGATTCCGCGCTCTTGAAAGACCACCAGCTGCTTGTGGACCCTGGTCCCTGCCTCCCGCCGCCCCTTTATACGCACTCTCCGGGATCTCACTGCTTAATGGCCCAGCCTTCTCTAAAGAAAGCCACTGGGCCTTCCTAGCCTCCGACCCAGGTGGAGGAAGGTACAAAATAACGCATCTTGTTTTGTTTTCGTTTTTTCTTTTCAATGCTTCTCATCAGTAAGGTCTTTGCAAGTAAGAGGACCCCTGGGCTACCAGGTCTGGCGCCCACTGCTGCCTCCCGGGAGACCCGTGAGGCCGCTGAGTCTGGGCTCAAGGGAACAGTGTTAACCCGGCTATTCCTTTACAGTGGTTCGCACGGACAGTTTAAAAGGCCGGAGAGGTCGTTTACCCTCGAAGCCGAAGAGTCCACAGGATCCCTCTCCCCCCTCACCCCCGGTGAGTCTGATCAGTGCCCTCGTCAGAGCCCATGTCGACTCCAACCCGGCTATGACCAGCCTGGACTATTCCAGGGTAAGAAGCTAGTGGGGGTTATCATGTGAACAAACCCAGGAATGAACAAACCCACTCCCTACACTCAGTTTAAGGCCCCAGATTCAAGGGTAAATGAGGCAAACCAGGATACATGCTTCACAACCCTGGCCAGGGTTCCAGAAGACAGAGAGGTGTAAATCTTAGAACGTGCCAGAGTGGTTGAGTTTTTGTGAAACTCTGTTGCCCGACAATTCCTCCGTCTGAGGTCCGAAAGGCAAAGCCCAGACTGAGGCTGTGCCTAACCTTCCTTCCCAGATCTACTTCGTGCAGAGTAGATCCGCCGCCACCCCCCACCCTCCATGAAAAATCGAGCTTGCTTGGGGCCAGGAAATAAAAGAGTGTGGAATGAATAACGGGGGGCGGGGGTGTCGGGGTCAGGGATCAAGTGGTGCACTTCCTCTTACTCTAGTTGTGAAAATGTGCAGGTTTTGGTTAAGAGGGAGTGTGGGCAATCCTAGTAGCTACTGCAATATTATTAAGCTTTGCAAAGGGCGCCTCCACTGAAGACCCACTCTGGGATTAGCATGAATACTACCGTGTCAATTGTTTTGTGGAGATAAGACTGAACGTTTCCCAGGGCTGGATGGCACTGTATTTAGTCTGTATGGAAATGGTAATTTACATATTTAAAGCAGCGACCTCATAGCACCGTCCCTAATTGAATTAATTGCCCCGGAACATCTAATTTCCTTACTGGTCAGAGAGAGGTTTAATTGTTATAAAAACCTGGCTCCCCTACTAGAAACGGGGTTAGCAATTTCACGGGTTATATATTTTAGAGAACCTCATTAAGTGCTTTTTAAAATGAAATTCCAGTTCCAGGCAAACCCTGACTATCAGATGAGTGGAGATGACACCCAACATATACAGCAATTCTACGATCTCCTGACTGGCTCTATGGAAATCATCAGAGGTTGGGCAGAGAAGATCCCTGGCTTTGCTGACCTGCCCAAAGCTGATCAAGACCTGCTTTTTGAATCAGCGTTCTTAGAATTATTTGTTCTTCGATTAGCGTACAGGTAATGAGGGAGGCCTAGAGAGGAACGAGGAAGTAAAAGAAAGGAGGGGGGAAGGGTGGGGTAAGGGTAGGACGTGGGCAAGATTAAAAAAAAAAAAAAAAAAAAAAAAAAAAGGTGGGAGGGGAAAGAGTGAGTCCAGAAACCTTGGGTGAACGGAGTGGAGATGGGCTAGAGGCGTTCTTGATTGTTATGAAATTAAACCCTTTCAAGGTCCACTGGTCTACATGTTATTAACTCTTCAGTAATTAGGTGCCTCTTAAATCCCTCATTTATTGCTCTTCAAGTAATTAGTTGTTTAGCTTTTCTCTCTCTCTTTTTCTCCCCTCTCTCTTTGGTATTAATTGCAGGTCCAACCCAGTGGAGGGTAAACTCATCTTTTGCAATGGGGTGGTCTTGCACAGGTTGCAATGCGTGCGTGGCTTTGGGGAATGGATTGATTCCATTGTTGAATTCTCCTCCAACTTGCAGAATATGAACATCGACATTTCTGCCTTCTCCTGCATTGCTGCCCTGGCTATGGTCACAGGTCAGTACTGCTAGTGCAGGGTACTTCCCTTGCAGAAGTTCCTCTGGTGGGACCAGTCATGGCTTTCCCCAGTCACAGATGCTCTCTGATTCTTCCAGCTGACTAACTCCATATGCATTCTTCTTTTGTTTCTGATTGCATTTTCTGCAGAGAGACATGGGCTCAAGGAACCTAAGAGAGTGGAAGAATTACAAAACAAAATTGTAAATTGTCTTAAAGACCACGTGACTTTCAATAATGGGGGCTTGAACCGTCCCAACTATCTATCCAAACTGTTGGGGAAGCTCCCAGAACTCCGCACCCTTTGCACGCAGGGGCTCCAGCGCATTTTCTACCTGAAACTGGAAGACTTGGTACCACCACCAGCCATAATTGACAAACTATTCCTGGACACCTTACCCTTCTAAGATCTTCTCCCATGCACTTCAAAAGACCTGGAAAGAAAAACCATCCAGAGGGGTCTGGTCACACGGGCAGAGCTGGCCAAAGTGCCCTGTTCATATCATCTCCCTTCTGTAGACCCCTAGCCCCCATTCCTAAAGTAAACAAACAAACAAACAAACAAAAACTGCCGCTATTTCCTAACCTGCAGGCAGAACCTGAAAGGGCATTTTGGCTCCGGGGCACCCTGGATTTAGAAAATGGACAACACACAGTATAGTGGTATAAACTTTTTATTATCAGTTCAAAATCAATTTATTGTTCAGAAGAAAAACTGCTAATGTTTGATGGGAAATGTTTGGCCATGCTTGCTTGTTGCAGTTAAGACAAATGTATCCACACACCACACACATAAACACACACACACACACACACACACACACACACCTACCTTAGGAGGACCCACATATTTTGCCCTATAATAAGACTTCAAAGTTTTCTGCTGTAAAGACAGCTGTAATATATATAGTAAAACTAAATGTTGCGTGGGTGGCATGAGTTGAAGAAGGCAGAGGCTTGTAAATTTATCCAATGCAGTTTGGCTTTTTAAATTATTTTGTGCCTATTTATGAATAAATATTACAAATTCTAAAAAGTAAGTGTGTTTGCAAAAAAAAAAAAAAAGAAAATAATTACATAAAAAGGGACAAGCATGTGATTCTAGGTTGAAGATGTTATAGGCACTTGCTACTTCAGTAATGTCTATATTATATAAATAGTATTTCAGACACTATGTAGTCTGTTAGATTTTATAAAGATTGGTAGTTATCTGAGCTTAAACATTTTCTCAATTGTATAATAGGTGGGCACAAGTATCAATACATTGGAAAATCCTGACAAAAGGGACACATAGTGTTTGTAACACCGTCCAACATTCCTTGTTTGTAAGTGTTGTATGTACCGTTGATGTTGATAAAAGAAAGTTTATATCTTGATTATTTTGTTGTCTAAAGCTAAACAGAACTTGCATGCAGCAGCTTTTGACTGTTTCCAGAGTGCTTATAATCTACATAACTCCCTGGAAATTACTGAGCACTTTGAATTTTTTTGTTTTTTTTTAATGTCTAAAATTGTCAGTTAATATATTATTTTATGTTTGAGTAAGAATTTTAATATTGCCATATTCTGTAGTATTTTTCTTTGTATATTTCTAGTACGGCACATGAGATGAGTCACTGCCTTTTTTTTTCTATGGTGTATGACAGTTAGAGATGCTGATTTTTTTTTCTGATAAATTCTTTCTTTGAGAAAGACAATTTTAATGTTTACAACAATAAACCACGTAAATGAACAGAACTTTGTCTTATTTCTGGGTCAGGAAAATGATGACTAAACAACACATAGAAGAAAGATGCAAAAGTGGAGATTGATTTGGGGTAGGTCATTTACACAACATCTGAATTTCAGAGTGACAGCCTGAATCCATTGTGGCAAGAGGGAGGGTGTAATTGAGCTAATTATCTAGAGAATTCAGTGCAATATTTTTCCTTAGCCTGAATTTTCCAGTCTGGTGACCTACATTTATCAGAGTGGATTTGGAATATTTTATTTTACTCTTGTAAGTTTTGAGTAAGTATAGCTTTCAAAGGACAAACTTAGGATACCAAGAAGCTTCTAAACTTTTCTAGTGTTGGGAATCTCTGGAAGGTCTTGTGGACAGCTTTCAGGAAGTCTGTGCTTGAGTCTCAGAAAGGCCACACAGATCTTGTACTTTTGTTTTTGCCTTTTCAATTCCTATGCATGCTGGTAAGAGTGTGGAAGGGAGAGCTCTGGGTCTCTGGCCCTTGCAGTCCTGAGTCAGCTTTACCAGTTGAGCTCTGTAGAGACATTTCTTACATTATTTTCCTGCTTTGATGGGTATTGATGAGGTGTAATCTGCACTTTTAGAATAACATTTCCACCTTTTAAGTATTCCAGATTTAAAAAAAGTCCTTGTCAGGTCTCTGATTTGGTTTAAGCAAGTTTTAAGATGAGGCTCTGCACTAACTTTCCATGGAAGGAAGGGAACTGTTGGGCTGAGCTGTCTCTCAGCCATCTATCCTTTGGCAGATGGTAGTCCAGTTGTGGCCTAGAAGAGCTGCAACACGGGATGATCATGGTGACTGATCCTGGCTAATTACAGATGGCCTCTAGGTCACTGAATTTACAAAAAAAAAAGTTATTGTTATTGTTTAAAAAATGTATTGCTATAGTAGTATAAGGCCACCAGAGCTGTTGGGGCATCCCCCGCCCTCCAAAAAAAAAAAAAAAAAAAAAAAAAACCCAAAAAACAAAAAACAATTGTTTTGTGGTTGGCAAAAAGACAAGGAAAGTTTAAAGCTATTTTTACTTGGAGGGTTTCTCTCTCAGCATTCGAGGGTAAAGGAGGACTGCTACAACATAGGATATCAAACAATCAAACAATAAGGAAATGCCCAATTTCTCTCTCTCTCTCTCTCTCTATATATATATATATATATATATATATATATATGATCAGATAATGCATTTAATTTTATTATTCTATCTTATTTTGAATCAAAGCCATAAACTTTTTAGCAGACAGATTGAGCTCCCATCAGAGCTCTTCTCCCAGGTATCTTCGGGCCCTGAGACAATTACATTCCACTGCCACAGAAGCCCTGAGAGTTGATCCCAGAAACACCCCCAAGGTTGATTTTTCTTAAGGAAGCAGCAAGCACCATTGCAGGCCAGTGGGGGCGCTAGGACAGTAAGTCTCTGGAGAATTTCGAGTGAAAGGGACACCATGTTCTCCTGCTCTCCAGACTGCACCTACTGCACTGGGTTATTCTGAATTTGCCTCTAGTATGATTTCTGCTTTACAGCAGCATTCTAACTCCTGGCTCACACTCACCTACATCTCTTCCGTGTTTTCAGAGGTTCTCATTGCCCAGAACTCTTTCCATCTTAGATTTTCTTTCTAGGAATAACACCCAGGAAGACCCACAGACTCTCTACATTGTCAAAGTGAGTGAATGGAACTTCTTCAGGAAGAGGTCTAACTTTTTGAAGAGGGTTTCCTATTCATCTCTGCTCCCCAATGGCCCTTGGGTTTCATTTATGAAAGTGTCATTTCAGCAATGGAAAATACAGAGTCATTGTTCCAATGCCATGGCCATCCATACACTTCTCAGGTCTGAGAAAAGGTCTATTTTAAAAGCTTGGTGGTCTAGTCCTACTTTGAGAGGCTGCCCAGAATGCTCTTGGCTTTTTGGAGAGATGGCCTTAATATAAACCAAGAACAGACAGGCGGTTCTATTGCCTGGTGTTTTCTGGCTTCTGCCTTTCTGAGTGTCCTGCCTTCCCTCACTCAGACTTTTGGCTTTCTGAAACTGATCAGAAGGCACTCAGGAGGGTGTGTGCGAGTGAGTGAGTGAGTGTGTGTGTGTGTGTGTGTGTGTGTGTGTGTTTACTGAATCGGTGGTCCTAATTCTGATACAGAGCTACTGCATGATCCAGAGTAATAGCATCAAACCACACCCATGGCACAGATCTTGCCTTGTGCACTTTTATCTTGTTCCAGGCTGGTTTTTATCCTTAGAGATCTTGGGGATTCTATCTCCTAAAAATACCGACTGTAAGTCTATGGGCTGCTAATGTGTGTACAGAGGATCCAACGAAGACACAGATTTTCCTGTCAATTTAAGAATATTACTTGAAGGTTTAATTTCACGTTTTCTTAATAATCTAGTGGCTTTGCGGGTGTCATTCCTAGTAGTCAATTATCTGATTATCTTTTAAGCCAGAGCATCCCCAGTGAAGAACGACTTTAAGACACAAACGGGTGCACAGGTGAATGCCCTCCAATTTCTTTGTAATATTTGACCACAAAGTTTTCCTGTATAGGATGCATTTCCATCTCTCAAGACCCTATACTGTGTACTACTAATACTAGAGCACACCCAAAGAAGCATGCCGCCCTTCGTCTTCCAGCCACCAGCGTCGTTTAGCTGTGCACACGCACCGGTTTCCTTTTTTATCCGCCGCCAAGCAGCAGCGCCAGGTGACTGAGGAGGGCAAGGACGAATCTCTAAGGCGAGCCTCGCTCGGCTCCTTCGGTGGGATAGGTGCTTTTTTGTTTGGTTCTGAGTCCGAGGCAAGAAAGGAGACAGGTTCCCCTAAGGTGAAAGGGGATGGGAGGGCATCTAGCCCGTAGGTTCAAAACTTTCTGTCAGTGCTGTTTTAACGGTTGAATAGAGGTCTGAGTGTCTTTTAATAAAGACTTTTCAGAAGGGGACTTCAAGTACTGACACTCCCTTCCCTCCCTTCCCGGTCCTGGAATGGTAGAATGTGAACTCGTCTGGGCGTGCCTGGGAGTTTCTCAGCCACGCAAACTTTCCCGGCACCGCAATGCCGCGGACCGGTAGTCGACTCAGTTCGGTCGTTGACTTAGTTTTGTAATTTCACTACGAAGCTTCTCTGGTGGGGGCTTCCAGCAGCCGGTAGCAGTCCACACTGCTCTCAGGTCTCAGCCACGACTCAAGGAGGAGCATCTGGCTGCTAGACACTGGGAAAGTCTGCATTTGACAGAAATGCTTCAGGAGCAATCACGGTTTGCAGTGGCGAATTTAGTCGATACAGGCGACTTTATTGATGAAGCAGTATAAGAATTCCAAATAGGTCATCATTTAAAAAATTAATTCGTTTCTTAATACTAAAGCGACACACGTAAATCGGTTTAAAAATTGTTTTTTAAATTAGAGTTCCCAAGTTGAATGATGGAGATGTAATTTTCCCTTGAAATGTTCCCCGAGCTGGGGCCACGAGCCTTTCCTTAGGAAATGTCCGACTTCTTTTGCAGGGGCCTTCAGGGAGCGGTGGGCGCTCAGGAGAACAGAGCCATACCCCACTCCTGCACTAGGAGACGTGCGCCTGGGTCCCCATCTGAGGCGTGCGCCCAGGACCCTGAAGAGCGTGCAAGCCGACTAGAGGAAGCCCGCCTCTGGCCACTTACTCCCTTTAGCACGCTGTGCTGTTTAGTAGATAATCTTCTTGGCTAGTGAAGTCCAGGCCCTAGTACGGGGCAGAACCGGTGTCTGAGTTCCCCTCTGCCCTCTCAACCGTGCGGGAGAAGGTGGATCGCAAACACTTTTTGCTTTGCCGCGTGCGTTTTCGTGACTGGTTTGTTTCTGAACAAACCATCGGGAGATATTGCCGAGAATCTTGGACAATCTGTAACATTTTCTCTGTTCCTTCCGGTCCTTCCTTGCTCTGCCAGATGTTCCCAGGTCTTCTTTCTCAGCAGTGCTATTACCACACAAGGCCGAGGTCACCATAGGTTCTAGAATCACCCAGTGGCTAGGTAGGGCGCATCGGGGCCTGAGACCCGAGGCCGTACACACACACACACACACACACACACACACACACACACACACACACTAGGCGCTTTCTCCTCGTGCCCCCCACCCCCATCTGAGGCCAGTCTCCGATGTCCCGCAGCTTCAGGGCGTCCCCTCAAAACTCCCCAGAGAGGACATTTTGCAAGTGGTCCGGACTAACATAGAGGCGTGGTTGGCAAAGTTGCGGGCATCCCCACTCAGCAGCGCGTGCTGCCTGTGCCCACACCCGGAGGAAACAACGTGTGCGCGTCTGCGACTCCCTTTCCCCCTTACAGCACCCGTAAGGAGTCCAAGGCCATCG